TCCTGCCCCCCCGGGGCCGCCGGGGCCGGGCCACCCGAGAGGCCTCCTTGGGCAGTAAGACAGGCTCCATGAGCGTGGGGTACACCCCATCGAGGGCGCCGCCCAGCGGGCAGTGGGTGGCAGGCGGGAATGTGGCAGCTGGGCGGACAGGCGAGGACGTGGAGGTGGACCTGGGGGAGCAGAGAAGGGGGTCAGGCGGCTGTGGGAGCTGCCCTCACTCCAGCACCTCGCTGAGTCCTCACTGCCTGGCGTCCCCACCGCATGGACACTCCACGTCGCTCCCAGGGTCGGTCTGCTCTCGGCACGACTCTGAGAGGCACGGTCCGACTGTGTCCCCCGTAAGGTCCTGGGAGCAGGACTGGGTGCCGGCGGCAGAGCACGAGGCGGGTCCTTACCTTCTCGTGCAGGAAGAAGGCCGTCAGCGCGGCGGCCAGCAGAGGGCCCAGCACCCCAAACATAACCACCCCAAGGCGACGCATCAGCAAGAAGACAGAACGCAGGCACAGCCGGGTGGCCAGGCACGGGCAGTGGGCCTGCTCAGGACACGGGAATGTGAGGATCCCGAGCCAGGGCACGGGCTGGGGCAGGGCCGGCTGGGCGGGCGGCAGTGGCGTTCCTCCCACAGGGGAGCCTAGCCGGCTGGCCCTCACCTGGGCTGGTTCCAACGGGAGCCACTCAGGACACCCCATCCTTGGTGGATGCTGATCCCCTCCCAGCCCTGCTTGTCGGCCTCTGTGGGAAGGGCCCGCGGTCCCTATCGCACTTTCCTGTGCTTTTTTTAACTCGCAACAGGGGTGTGCACTTGGAGAGACTCAGACAGAGAGGGGAGAAAGCACCCCCGGGGGAAGGCCAGGCCGCAATCTGTCCTCAGCGCTCCCATGGGGTCAGGGCATGCACACACACACGCTCGGCATATTTCTCAAACCACCAGGTTTGGGACTCAAACCACATAGTCGGCCACGTGAGATCTAACACCTTAACACCATGCCTGCTGCCTGCTGGCCCTCCCATCACACTTCATTTGTAAGAGAGATTTTGGCTATCAGGTTTGTGTGCTTGCTAGAGAGACAGACAGACAGAAAGCGAGAAACCACCCCCCGGGAGGATGGTCGTACAGCAATCCCTGCTCTCCCGCTCTGCTCTGAGATTCTGGGCGCACACGCACATACGCCCTGGGTGAGTTTTAAGCCACTGGGTCTGGGACTTGAACTGTGGACAGCTATGTGGGAGTCCAGCAACGTAACCATTACACTGCCTGCTGGTCCCCCTCCCGTCAATTTCGAACGCTGTTGTGCGTGTGGAGAAGGGGTTTTCTGCACAGGGGCCTGCGTCCAGCGGGCATGTTCTCACCAGCCAGGTGCTCCTGCCGGGAAGGGGAGTGGGTGTGCCACGGCCACAGTGCGGGAGGGGCTGAGTTACGGCAGCCCGGGGTCTGCCCTCACGCGGGGCCCACCCTCCACGGCAACTTCACGTGCAGCCCGTCCAGGACGGGGACTTTGTGTGGGGTCTGCTGGTGGACGGCAGTGTCCCACAGGGCCGCCTACAGATGCGAACCTGGCTTGGAAGGGCCAGTGGCCAGAGCATAGGCCCATAATGGGGTACTGGGGAGGGTGGTGGCAACGCTCTCGTCTCAGCCGATTTCCCCCTACCTGGGGAGGACCTATTGTCTGTCCTCAACCCGTGCTGGGCCCCTCCAGACTGGACCACCGCCCCCCCCACTATCCGCCCATGCCTGCTGTATCCCACTGTCACCGTCACCCACTGTCCCCCCACCAGCACCCACATACTTTCTGACTACTGCTCTGCCCATCCAACCACCACCCATCACCCATCTCTGCCACCCTCCACCCGCCAGCCCACCCAGACCTGCCTGGCTGCCGTCCACCCGCTGCCCACGCGGCATCCCTCAGCTCCCAGACCGCCCGGCTGGGCCCCCACCCACTGTCCTCTCCTCAATGCATGCCCCTGCTCCCCACTGCTGTCTGGGAACCAGCACTGCCACCTCCACCTCTCTCCACCCGCCGCTCCGGGCCCTTGCCCGCGTGCTCGCGCCAGCCTGGCCCACCTCAGGACGGTGGGGGTGCCGGGCTCCACGGAGGTAACGGTGCCCTTCATGCCCGTGTTGTGCAGCACGCTGGGTCTCTGCTGGACAGCGTCCTGGGTCCGGGGGGACATGGGCGAGTGCTGGTGGGAGTGGGAGTGGGAGGCGGGCCGCCCGCTGCCCCCGCTGCTCTGCTCCGTACCTGGTGACAGGCTGCGGCATCAGAGGGGGCTGGTGCACGCAGCCCGTGAGGACCCCGGGACTCAGGCGGGGGTCCCCGATGCCCTACCGGGTCTCCAGATGGGTGCGTGCTCCACCGTCGTGGTGGAGGTGAGGATGGACTTCTCTCGCTCCCGCTCCCTCTCCCGCTCGGACGCCGACGTGGAGGTTGGCTTTGTCAAGTGAGTGGGGCCTCCTGGAACGCGACAGTCGGACGCTCAGTCAGGCCCAGGACGGGGCCAGACACGTCCTCAGGAAAGTCAGAGCGTGCCAGGCATGGCCCGCCCAGCCCTAGCCCGGCCTCCTTCCCGGCCGCTAGGGCCCGTAAGTACCTGGGGAGAGCGGGGAGCTGCTGAGCCGGCTGCCGAAGGGCTGGGCTGCGGAGGGGAGGTACGTCAGGCGGTCCATGGCTGTGGCGGGGGTGCCCGGCGTCGGGGGCACCAACACAGGCAGGTGTGGTACTTGGGACAGGTCGATGATGCCTGTGGGAGGTTGGGGCTGCAGCCGCTCTGAGCAGGTCCTGCGGGCGCCCTCTGCCACGGAGTCCCCGCCCCTTGTCTCCTGGGCCCGGGTGTGCTGCTCCCATGGAACCACGTCGGGCCCCCTCTGTGCCCATCTGCACCAACAATGAGCTCGGGCGTTCCCGTGACGCCCAGCACACTCAGAGCTACATAGGCGGTTCCACGGCAAGGGAAGCCTGCCTCAGCCGGCTCCGCCGGGCTCTGGGGCACACTCTAAGGACGTCACGCGGCACCATGCACACGCTTCCACATGCAGCCAGGGCCCGCAGCACACAGGAGCCACGCCCACGGCATGCACAAGCCCTGCCCAACCACGCACTCACTCGGGGACCAGCGGCCACGACCTCGGCAAGAGCACGGCATGGGTGCACACATGTCCTTTGCATACTGGGGCGCTGGACTCGGGCCGCCTGGGACGGAGGGTCTGCACCTACCTCGCGGGCCGGCGGCGTAGTTCAGAGCCAGTGAGGACTCCCGGGGCGACAGGCCCCGCAGCATGTCGGCCCGCTGCGCCATGGCGGTGGCCGCATTGTGGTGCATCTGCTGCGAGGTGATGTAGTCGTTGATGATGGTCTGCCGGTTCTCCAGCGCCGCCGTGTCAGGGTAGCCT